TTATTATATATATATATATACATATATATATATATATATACATATATAATTAAATTTCGAATTTTGATGATGAAACTAATCAAAATGTGTTTATATTTTAATCTATGTTTTGAGTGACACAGGATGCTTTGATCAGGATGAGACAATTAAAATAGAAAAATTATATTAGGCCGGAGAAAAATTTCATAAGATTGGATGTTGGACCGGTGGATCGGTCGATGTATCGATAGAAGGCTTCGAGCCGTGGATTCGGGCATTGGGCCAAGAAGAGTAGAAATTACACCAAGGATATCGTAGTTGCGGAGTCAACTGACTGATTGGGCAATAGGTTGCAGGAGAGGACGATGCACCAAAGAATCGGACGAAGCGTCGAGGGACTAATGACATGCCGGATAACTTGATTAGATGCTTAGGATTAATTGTCTAGATCGAAGTATGTTTTACATGTGCAGGATTAACTACGATAGCATGAAGACATAAAGGAAGTTTACCGAAGTCAAGTTCGATGGGTGTTCGAGAGTCCGCTGAAAATCCGAAGAATCATCGGAAGTGTTGCCGGAACCAACCGAGAAAGAATCAGGGACTTGCCGAAGTTATCGGAAGTCTGCCGAAAAGATCATCGAAGGTTCGCGAAGATCACTAAGATGGTTCGGATACTTACCAAAGATTCGTTGAACTCCCCACAAGACTGGGAGCCTACTGGGAGCCCACCGGAAGAAATCCGAGGGTATATCGGAAGTCCGTCGGAAGTTCATTGGAAAGCTCACCGGAAGGAAACTCGAAGTTGCCGGTTACAATTTGTTTAGGGCTATGTCTTAATTTCATAGTTTGCATATAATTTGGGTTAGGATTACGGGTTAATCCTATAACCCGGTTAGGGGCCAATTGGGCTCGAGTTTGGATTGGTTTGGGCCAAGTTTGGAGCCCAACCAGTGAGCCGGAACAGTCCAGGTAGTGGCACCAACAGTACACTGTCGGTGTCAGACACTAACTGGCAGTGGCACCGCCAGCACCGGGAACCCAAAAGTAATTCAAATTTGGAGCCCAAATTTGAATCCTCTTAGGGCCTATAAATACCCTTCAATTCTCAGCGGAGAAAACACCTTTTGAAAAGTTAGAGATTGAGAAAAAGCCTTAGCAAAGTCTTTAACAAGTCTTGTTTTCAATAGCTTAAGTGTTAAACTCCCTCTTTCTCTTTGAAAAATCTGTAAAAGTGTGAACCACTTGTAAAAGGTTGTAAGAGGGGTATTTGTCCTTCCCCTTCAAAGTGATTTGCTAGTAGAAGTTGGGAGCCTCATCGAAGAAGGTTTTGCAAGTGGATGTAGGTCATTTGACCGAACCATTTTAAATTAGTGTGTTCCTTGAATGTGTGAGTGTTTACCTTTCTGAAACCTTTATTTACGTAACATCAAACTTTTGATTTTTATCTCCTTACTTTACTCGAGCTACTTTTACCAAGTCATTCTTTGTCAAATCGAAATCTCTATGCGTTTACGAAATCGTTTTGAAACTTACGAGTTTTAATCCGCTATACTAATTCACTCCCCCTCTTAGTGCCCCTCCGATCCTAACATATATATGAATAATTAGATTAATTTCAATATAAGATAAAATAAAAAAATTAATTTAAGATGATATTGATATACGCTAAGAAGATATATAGTTAGAAGATACTAAACAATTACTATGCAAAAATAAAAAGAGACTTAAAAAGATTCTTTTAAAAGATATAAATAAAAATTTAAGTATTTTTAATTTAATTATGAATATGATGTTTGAGAGAACACGATGATAATAAAAAAATTCATTTAATCGATCTTAAATAATAATGAATTATGATTTTATTATTATTATTATTGTATTGACCCTCCCCCATAACATGGATTGATGAAAGTTTAATGGGCTGTCTTCAACAAAAATAGCCTTTGAAAAGAACATATCTTCAAAGGAAGCCGCCGTTGAGTTCACTCGTGGCCACCATCGCTGCATGTTCTCCTACAGTGATCAGATGGGGAAATGGTGGTGAGAATAATTAAAGAAATCAAAATATTTTCTCATATCCTCTCACTTTTGGTTATATTTATTTTTGTTATATCGGAAATGCCTCATATGTCGGCAATAGTCCTTTTATATCTTTCTTAACTATCACAAGCAAGAAGAATTAGATTCGATTCAATCGATGATTAGCTTCATGTGATCAGAGGTGTCGCCATTAAATAAAGTCTCTTTCTCGTTAAATAAGCAGATTAAATATATGAGACTCTTTTGTAATTAATCACTCGATGCGTATGCTTTGTCATACACTTCCTATTTAAATCTTTTGTCGGCATAAAAAGTGCATCGAGATTAGCATGTGGCTGTGTTCGAGAGACCTCAAGGAATTCCGGGTGGAAATGAGGCTGAGAAATGATCAAAGAAATATTCGACTTGGCAAATAGGAAAATTTTGTCTTCATATTCTCACGAATCTTAAGCTTCACTTCTTCATATCCATCAATCTTTTCTTTTTTATTATTATTATTTTTTTTTAATTTCAAAGGGCAAACAATGATGGTGCATTTTAATCCTATGATCTTACGATGATCTGACAAATTCTTTAGTAGCGAAGGTATTTATCATCTTTCGAAAATTATCAAATGAGGATTTAATCCTTCGGCCTTCATAAGCGAGTATAATGTATCGATCATATCAATATTTTAAATATATAAATTTTATTAGATA